ATTCTGTCCCTTCTCTCTTTTATTCTGCCCCTTCATTCTCTGCCCATTCCCTCTTTTATTCTGCCCCCTCATTCTCTACCCCTTCCCTCTTTTATTCTGCCCCTTAATTCTGTCCCTTCTCTCTTTTATTCTGTCCATTCATTCTGTCCCTTCTCTCTTTTATTCTGTCCATTCATTCTGTCCCTTCTCTCTTTTATTCTTCCCCTTCATTCTCTGCCCCTTATCTCTTTTATTTTGCTCCTTCATTCTCTGCCCCTTCCCTCTTTTATTCTTCCCATTCTTTCTCTGCCACTTCCATCTTTAATTCTGCCCCTTCATTCGATGCCCCTTCTCTCTTTTATTCTGCCCCTTCATTCTCTGCCCCTTCTCTCTTTTATTCTGCCCCTTCATTCTCTGCCCCTTCCCTCTTTTATTCTGTCCCTTCTCTCTTTTATTCTGCCCCTTCATTCTGTCCCTTCTCTCTTTTATTCTGCCCCTTCATTCTCTGCCCCTTACCTCTTTTATTCTGCCACTTCATTCTCTGCCTTCAGGGAGAAGGAACCAAATCCAGCGACGTTGACGTCCAAGAGATCCTGCGACGTCCAAGAGATCGCAAGAACGCAGACTGAGGACGAGCAGTGACTGCAGTGCGTTCTCATGATCTCTTGGCCCACAGTGAATCCCCGCGCGCCGCTCAGGACCACGGTGTTCGAATATCCAGGGATCCTGAGCAGCGCTCGGGGATTCACTGGGGGCCACAACAGATAGGTTAGGCAAATTACCTGTGGCGCCGGACTTTGGACATGACTGATTTAACCCCTTAAGGACACATGACATGTGTGACATGTCATGATTCCCTTTTATTCCAGAAGTTTGGTCCTTAAGGGGTTAAAGGAACAAAATAAGCATCCTAGCCACTTCATCTCATTGAGGTGATCTGGGTGCAGTGTCCCTGTCCCTTTAACTCTACAAGTGAAAACATTGAAGTTTTAGAGAAACTGTAATGTTTACATTGCAGGGGTAAAGGGTTACTTCAACCACCATGACCACTTCAGTGATTTGATATGGTCATGGTGGTAGGAGTCAGTATGTGCAGTGTTTCAGCCAGCAGTCTGTTCCGAGCTGCCTAATGTAAATTTTGTGCATATTTAAAGTCTATTAGCTCGGACTGCACTGCGATAAAAGATGTGACTCTCTCCTCCTTGCAGACAGAGCAGCTGCAAGGGAAGCTAGCTCATCCCTCCCTCCCTGAGGGCAGTCCCTTGCGCCACCCTCCGTTGCAGAGTTATTTGTTTTCATAAAAGCCCTCCCTCCTTTCTACTTTCCCCCGCTGGCCTGGAGTGCGCACATGCAGTCTTAGCCAGCAAAATGGTTCAGTCACAGACTTATGTATGAGAAACTTGTGATTGGACGGCACGGCTCAAGTGACATCAGAGGGGATGCAGAAGTCAGCATCGCGAGCTGCTGCCAGTGTTGGATTCAAGGTAAGTAAAATAATACCTTTTAATAACGCTGTGGGGGGAAGGGGGGCAGGGGAGAGGGTGGGGGGAGCAACCTATCTAGAAATGCCCAATAGGGCACTTTGAGGTAAAAAACCCTCAACTTTATAAAGGGTTACAATAACCCTTTTAGTCCACCTCTAATGGCTGTCCACCAGTTATCCGTGAAATGATGCTGGATTGCATGGAGGACTTGTAGCATCTTGAAAATCCCAATAACAAAGCATTGGTTCAATACTTTCCTATGGGAAAACTCTATTGCACACATGGGCACATCACAGGATGAGGAGACTGGTCAGCGCCAAGAGACCTCAGATTTTGAATAAGGTAAGTAAAACAAAGGATTTATAACACTTATATAACCGGTGTTGGGGGGGGGGGTGGCGGAGGGGGAGAGGCAAGGAGGCGCAGAGACACTATAGTGTTAGTGTAATTAACATGGTCTAGATATTCTGTGGCCACCCTTTAGTTTTTCCTGCGAAGGAGTCATTGGCACCATGCCACACCTACAATGGAACAGATATGATGATATGCTTCTAAAACCTCGATTTAGAGGGATCTGGTTATATATGCAGTTGAGAACCTCAGTAGTGATGTCCCGAACAGTTCGCCGAATGGTTCGCGAACGGTTCGCCACGGACTCATCATTGAGTAAACTTTGACCCTGTACCTCACAGTCAGCAGACACATTCTAGCCAATCAGCAGCAGACCCTCCCTCCCAGACCCTTCCACCTCCTGGACAGCATCCATTTTTCATTCATTGTGAAGCTGCATTCTTAGTGAGCTGTCCAGGAGGTGGTTCGATTTTCGTAAGGAACAAACGAAGGTCTCCTCTTTCGGTGATATTCAGAAAACTTCTCTGTTTACTCATAAAACGATTTCTCATCTGTGCGTCAGCTCTCCTCCTCTCCCTCCTCAATTCCCCTCCCCACCTTTTTTTTCTTCCTTTTTTTAACCTTCCTTATAGCAATGCCTAGTAGGAAGGCTGAGCTAGGTAGCCCACTTACTATTATTAGTCAACAACAATTCTCTCCTTTTCCTTTTCTTATTTTCTCCTTTTTTACAAGTACTCTTCTCCTTCTTTCTCCTATTCTACAAGTACTCTGCACCTTCTTTCTCCTTTTTACAAATACCCTGCTCCTTTTTACTTCTATTCTACAAGTACTCTGCTCACAGACAAACACTCACACACTCACACATACATTTACAGACAAACACTCACAGACAAACACTCACACATACACTTACAGACAGACACACACTCACATAGAAACACATACACACTAACATACACATACTCACACATGCACTTACAGACACTCACACATACACAGACAGACACACATACACTAACAGACACACAGATACACACACACACATACTTACAGACACACACATACTTCCAGACACAAACACACTTCCAGACACAAACACACATATACTTACAGACACACACATACATATACTTACAGATACACACTCATATACTTACTGACACACACACATATACTTACAGACACACACACACATATACTTACTGACACACATACACACACGCACATATATACTTACAGACACACACATACACTTACAGACACACACACACATACACTTACAGACACACACATATACACACAAATTATTAATATTAAATGTCCACCCAGCCTCCCTACCTGGAGAGCTGGTGTGGATCTGTCCCTGGGGTCCAGTGGGGCTTCACTTCGGTGGGCGGCTGTGTGATAATCAGAAGTGGCGAGGGAGCTCTAACCTCTCTGCTCTGCTCTGCTCCCCCGCGGGCTGTCTACTGATGCCAGGAGCCGGAATATGACGTCATATTCCGGCTCCCGCTGCATCAGCAAATATCTCGCGAGGGAGCAGTGCAGAGAGGTTAGAGCTCCCTCGCTGCCTCGGATTAGAACTCTGCCGCGCCTGGGGGTCCAGAAGGTGGCCTTGCAGGAGGGAGCACTTCCTCCTGTCGGTCACTGAAAACTTGCGCCCACAGAGCCGCTCGCGCCCGCCCAAAAGGAGAAATCCTCTTAAAAAGAGGATTTAGCCGCTGAAATCCCTACCGCCCACTTGGAATCCTGAAACGCCCACTAGTGGGCGGTAGGGACCAGGTTGACGACCCATGGTCTAAAGCAACAGTTTGTTGTTCCTGTTGCTTTAGACCTACTTGGCTTGTGACCCCCTGCTTCTGGATCTTCGCTATTGCCTGTTCGCTAGCTGCCCTTACCTTTGGAACCGTGTCTGACTAGTCTTCTAGTAAATTTGAGCAACATCAGCTTCTGACAGAGAGCGTTTGGAACGCATCCAGCAGCCGCAGTGGAACGCACGCGGCGAATACACAGTGTCATTCCAGCACGAGGAAGTCCTCCTTCACCTCTGTCCGGCTGGCAAGAGAGTGTTACCCACATCTTTGGACCCTCAGTCTACTTGACCTGGTATACCATCTCTCTTATTTGGGACTGTTTTTATTATTAGTCTTTTATATTATTGTGTGTTTTGTAGACAATACATTTTTCAATAGTACTCTGTCTGTTTCACTTATATTAGACTAACTTTCAATCCTTTGGAGATTTTTACTATATCAGTATCATTATTTTTACCCTATTTTATACATTCAGTGCTCCACGCTCTGCACGGAGGCGCTGAACGTTCCCCATAGAAATACATTGATTCAATACATCTCTATGAGGAGATGCTGATTGGTGTAGTGTTTTGCAGCCAATCCTATGGCAAAACATTGGATTGGCTGAGATCATCAATCTTGATGCTCTCAGCCATAGAGGCAGGGCCAGTCGAGGGAGACCAGCATGGCGCGGGGAAAAAAAAGGTGAGTGAAAACACTATTCCCTTGCCAATGGAAGGGGTCTGGTAACCTAAACACACACACAGACACACACATACACCATGACAAACACACACACACACCATGACACACACATACCATGACAAACACACACACACCTTGACAGACACACACCATAACAGACACACACACACCATGACTGACAGACACACACTATCACAAACCCATATACTCACACTTACAGACTGACTTACACATTATTGCTACCTGTGGGCAACCGGTCAGGGGATTGTGCAAGCGAGCGGCATGCAGGGTGGTCGTGCAGGGCGGGCGGCTGGCTACTCTAATAGGGAGCTGTGCTGTCTCTGCTCTGCTCCCCAGCGCACTGGTTAACGAAACCGGGGCCCGGTC